AAGCCATGAGATTTATAAATTCATTTTGGATTTTAGGAGAAAGATAAGATGTTGACGTTTGCTTGTTTTTAACTCGCTCTAAATGGTCTATTATTACTGGATCATACTTTGCTAATAACTGGAAAAGTGACAGGAAATTTCCAGGGTCTTCGTTTGAGATTATGTCCTCAGTATGACCATGAAATGCAAGATTCTGAGAAGCTAAATATTGTGTACAATCCAGCAACTATCGAACTACATCTCTCCATGTATTTTTTTCTTGCTGAATTTGCCTTTGCAGCTCTTCATCAATGCACTTTGAAGACAAATTCGGCACTCAGTTTCTTTCCAAGCAGCAAATAACTTACGATAACTGTCACTATTTTCATGAGCATTTAACTTTTCAATTTTGTTCCACTTAGAGAATCCACCCTGTGTTTTGAAAGCAGACCGACTATCGGATGTCATACATGTAGATGAAAAAAGAAGAAAACAAAAGCATTATGCTGCTTTATGTAAAGGTGAATACCCCAACCAGGAACAGTTGACTTCTTGTCAATTCAGAAGGCGTCATTTGAACCCAAAATGCAGTCATAGAACGCCCATCTTTGGCATCAAATGGACCTTCTTTATGTTGAAATTCAGGTGCTGCAACGTTAACAATTTCTGTGTGATGTGCATGTGTTACAAATGCTGAGCTCGTTGTATCAAACTTCATAAATCCAATATTTCTGTTTGTTAAAATATTTATTAGGTCATCCTCTTTTAGCTTAGCAACACTATTCTGTGGATTTGTTTCTGACAAAGTGGAATCCTCTTGTTTATTATTATTGTATCTTTCAATAGGATAGAGAACAGTTTCTTCATTGTTTTCTTTTTCAAATGAAATAGCATGTTTAAAATCTTGCACTTTGAACTCTTTGCTGCCATCAAAAGGAACAGATGCTGGCTTACTGGTATCATCACTTCCAGCAAGGAAAGCTCTCATCAATTTGCTTGACTCCACCATTGAAGCTCCGAATTGTGCATGTCTTTTGCGTCCCTGTGCCCCACTTTCTTTTTTCAACATAATAGGTTAAAAGAATAAATTAATAAATACTGACTTCACTATTTAGTTACAGCATGCAAATTGTCAGATGAAAGGAAGCATTCTACTTTACTAAGTTCCTAACCACAGATTACATTTAAATTATACAATTATAGTTGCAAGTCAGGACTAGTTAGGCACATCTGGACCTGGTTTCACTGTAACTGTCATTATTTGGACCACCCATACTCATGTTAATTAATGTGACACAACAGTAAGAAAATCAATGCAGGGTTATATCTAGATCTGGGTAGATTCAATACAAGGTGCTTTCAATCTATGCACCCAAATCTGAGGTCTAGTTTAGATGTATAAAGCTAAATTTCTGTCATTATTATTACATCTAGATCTAAACCTAAAACTAAAAAGATGGAAATAACAGGTCTAACATTAATGTTAGATCTAGATGTACTATCGACTTAATCTATGAACTGTAATCTAGCACCACTAATTAGTTAGCCTATATTTAAGTTTTATCATTCTATTAAAACCTTTAATATTAAATATAGCCTTTGAGCCTCTAGGCTTATATTATGTTATGATTACACCCGTCTCCAGAGTGTGTGTAATTTTCATTCAAGCAATTTCAGACTTGTCTCCTGTAGTGTTCGTGTAGTTAAGTTGAAATTCAGTGTGTCATGGTGGTTTGGTTGATAATCTCTTTGGCTTTTGCTAGAGTGGTGTGAGTTTATGCCAGATGCTATCAAAGTTTATGCAGTGATACTACCATTTCTTTAACAGACCGAATATGAAGTGATACTTTGACCCAATATCTGCTGCAGCAGGAGTCACTGTTTTATCTTGATTGGAGGCTTTATGGGAAACTGCTCCCTACAGCATCTCATCCGAAGCCAATGCCACGAATGCTACTTTAGTGCCTACTTGTGGAGTGATGGTGTGTGAGACCCTTATTCCCATCATGGAAACTGTTGTCACAGCTTGTGATACTGTCACCAATATTTCGAAAGTGATGTATTGGTATGGTGATGGTAAAAGTAGTGGAGGTAGCAGTTACACACAGATATTAATGTTGTGAAAGATTATGTAAATTAGCTAGTCACATGAGATGTAAACTCGTGATCTCACCAATAAGTAAAGATCCTGGTTGTTGAGACTGTTTATTTTTAGTCTATTACATCCTTACCCATTTAACAAACATTATTCTGAAAATTTAATATTGTGCAACATGACCCTAGAGATGGCTATGTTTTCTGAGAAACCCTTTGTTTAATATTTCGTTTTATAAGTGCAATACTAAGCAATATAAACTTCTGATCAGAGAAATCTGTTATTCTAGAGCAAAACTAAAAATCACCATGATAATGAGTATAGCTAATTAAATATCCTTTCCTCATGCTCTTACTTAGAAAGATTAAAATGCACCTGAATGACCTCCAAGTTCATAGCCAACAAAGAAACTTCCCCTGCGTCGCTCACTAGTAGTCACAAATGTCACAGACTTAGATGTAAAACTTGCCCTTATATAAATTCTAGAGTATTCAGAAGCTACCCCAAATCATTCTACGTCATGAAATTAAGTTTTATTTGCACTTCAAGTTGCCTTATCTATTGTATGTCTTTTAATTTTTTGGCCACTTTTATTTCAGAGAGACATCTAGACTGGCACATGTATGAAGCATGTTAGTCAAGGATCATGACGTACCTGTAGCTGGCCATTTTAATAGAGCTGTAACATCTTAAACTACTCGCTTTTAGACATACACTTAAGAACAGTCAAGAGGAAAATAATTGAAAAACAGCTACTTTTTAAGTTGGACTCTTTTAAATTCTAATGGTGTGAATGAACATTTCAGTTTCTTGTAAACAAATCCTAGTGATATGAGCATATGTTTGAATTTCTTATAAACATATCCCTCACTTTATTTTACAGACCTCTTTCCTCTTTATTATTTTATATTTGTATATTCTTTAATCTTTTTAAACTGTTGAAACTTAATTGTTTCAAAAGTTTCTCACTTTTTGTGAGAGCAATTTTTATATAGCACTACAAAATCTAGTATTTCTTTTACTTAACCCTTATTTTCTTTTTGTTGTTTTTTTAGTTTTTCCAAACCTGCTTCAGGACCATCTGTGAAAGGCATACTACTAATTTAGAAGTAATAGACTAGAGGGTAGGCAACACTACCCAGCACCAGCTCTTGGGCAATTCTTTTATGTCAACAAAAAGTGGGATTAACTGTTACATTATAATGCCGCCACGACAGAAAGAGCGAGCTTGTTCATTGACGGAATTTGAACCCAAGACCTGCAGATTATGAGTCAAGTGCCCTAACCACTAGGCCATATCAAGGCCCTTACTTTTTCAACATGCTGTTATACAATATATTTATAGTTTTGGACAGTTGTGTGTGTGTGCATATATATATTATGCATATGCAAAACGAATACTGTTATGTATGTGATGGTGTTTTATATTTTGATATGTTTATTTTTTTATAACAATAAAAAGGATAACAGCATTTAAAAATTTAAATTATGTATTCGTATTAGCTGGTTTTTCATACCACTAGCATTTTTATATTCTATTCATCCATATTATTGGATCCTCGTGGTCATTCCCGTGTAATGTATCATATTTAGAACAGTATAAGTATCGATATACTTAAACAAGGCTTCACAGAAAGCAGTTACTCGAAACGTCACCCAATAAAAGTATCTATATTTTGATGATATTATTCTGCTGATTTTACCTTGTACTTATAATTAACTACATAAGTGTCAGTTTGTCATGTTTCATCTAGGTCCTTCAGTTGCTCCTTTAAGAATTCTCATTAATCATTTGTGATGTTCATCAACAAGCAGGCTTTTCATCACTCATAGGGTTTGTCACCACTGCTTCTCTAATAGCTTTAATCACTGTAAAATATTTTGGATCTAGACATTCAATGAAATTTCCTACTCTTTATAGTTGGCGAGATAAGTAACCACATTTCTGTGCTGCAACTCAAATAGTATTGTACAATAAAATTATACTTTTGAAGCACTGTTCTTCAATGCACAGTTATAAGTTCCACGTTTTTTGAAGTTTATCAACAATTTCAGTGATGAACAGTTCACTTGAATAGTAAACTTGCTATCGTGCAAATAGTGGTGATATGGTTTGAGAAATATTACAGCTACAAGCTGTTTGTTCTTCGTAATAAAATGTCAGTTTTCAGGAGCTATTAGAATATGGCCCACATACATGGCTCACTATTGCTGCCATTAGTATGAATGAGTAGTCTTGATGAGGATATGCCAAAACTGGTACTTCAACTAAATAATCCTATCAAGAGTGTAATGGTTAATATACTTTATCCTTGGTTGTTCTGATGGTGTAAGCTGCTGCTAATTTGATGAACGTTCTTTTAGTACGGTTTGATACAGAAAAGGAAAACTGAGAAATGGTAATTGTTATCCTTATCAAAATTTTATCTTTGTAGAATGCAAGTTCCAGACAAAGAGTTGAAAGATTTTATCTTGGATAAAGAAAAGGAATGGCGGTTACTTGAAGAAGCACGAGTAGAAACCTTAGAAACATCCTTGAACGAAAAGAGTGGACTTATCCAGAAATACAGAAGTAATTTCAACCAATTGAAAGACGATTTTTTGTTTAATCTGGCTATACTTAAAGAAAGAGATGCAGAGTTAGAAAAATTTGACTCGATATTCATTGGTAAGTTTTTAAGTTACAAGAGTTCTTAAAAGGTTAATGAATCTCGTTAATAAATATATGTTATCATTTTGGAGCAAATGTTTTCGCCCATGATGTTTTTTACTTCATTTAGAACTTTTGATTACGTCATTAACGATTCGTGTGTCTGAGTGATCCTAGATTTTTTAAGTATATCATTGTCTAAAAATTCAACCTCAAATTCCATATGAATAACTTTAATAGTTGACAACCAACTCTTCGGCTTCCTCCTTTCTCAGAAAAACGAAAGCTAATATACACCTGGAAAAAAGTTAAGCACCCCCGTGTTTTTTTCAAGTGATTCAGATTCGACGTTCTTGTGACTGATTATAAATTACCATTCAATCGAAACG